TGTACAATAAACGATACTATTGTTGTACAATAAACGATTTATTTATTGACTCTTTGTGAGAAACACAACACACACACAAACCGAAAGGTAACCGGAGCCATCGGAACCTTTCGAAGCACGTCTGAAATGTTGTGAGTAAACTCAACTCACGGTCCAACTTAACATGCCAATATCCCGAGGCGAAATCCGCCTTTGAGAATACTCTTGAGTCACTCAACTCATGTAGTGCATCGTCGAGAACGGGGAGCGTATAGTGCTCACGTAGGAGCGCCTTATTCAGCTCATGGGGGTCAAAGCATATCCTCAAGGCTCCAGACTTCTTGTGCGCAACTACCATCTGGCTGACTCACGGCGTCGGCTCCTCAACCGGGCTGATAACATTTAACTCAGTCAGCCTCTCCAGCTCCATCTTTAATTTCGGTCGCACCGCGATGGGGACGAGCTCCTGTTGGCCATCACCACATGTATCGCACCAGCACGAACATCAAGATGCTGGGTACCAGGCAATTCTCCCAGCTTCTTATCATAAACCTCTGCGAATGCATCTTTTGTGGACGTTGCAGCAACCACGTCGAAGTTGTCATGTTGCACGTGTATGAGGTTCATTTGTACACTCGTCTGGTAACCTAAAATAAGTTGCCTCTCATCCTCAAACACAACGAAGGGCACTGAGTATCTTCTGTTGTTCCTCGGGTTAGTCACCTTTATTCGACATGTCCCCGCAGGTTTGTGGACAGCCTTGTTCCACATCTTTAGTACATCTCAATATGGCTCTATCTTGTCTGCAAATCTGGATGGCAGCATGTTTACAAACGCCCCGGTGTCTATCTGAAAATCGACTTTTGAGCCGCCAACCATCATCCGACACTTTGTCATCCTACTGGTTTGGGACACACCTGTGACAGCTTGCACAGACAGCCTTTTCCTCTGAGCTGTGACTGTATTGCACCACTCATAATCTGAGTCACTAGCAGATACATCATCATAATTCTCTTCCTTTAGCTGATTCACCCGGCCCCTACCAGTCCTGAAGGGCGCCGATACTCTCTGTTTCTGTTGTCCGCCTCTCATGTTGTCTGGGCATTTTGACTTAAAGTGATTCTTCTCACCGCATATGTGGCACGTCTTGCCAAAAGCTGGACACTTCTTTCTTCATGACGTGAGAGAAGTCGCAAAATCTGCACTGTTCTTTCTGCAAAGTTACGTACTGCTTATCCTTGACCTCGGGAAATCTTGCCCTTATTTTGTGCACAGTATCAGGCATAACTGGCTTCAATGCTCTGTCACACAACGAAGTAGACTGTG